CTAACTCTCTATCTCTCTCCCTTCCTCTCTGTAAAAAATCAATAAAATATAGTTAAAAAAAAAAGAGTTCTTGAGCACATAGGCCATGGACTAGGATAGAGGATATGTCATTGAATAAGCTGACATGCTAGTGGGGAGACAGACAAGAAATACTGTCGGGTGTGGTAAGTGTGATGCAGATAGGATATAGACTGATGGGATAGCAGTAGAGGTGTGTGTGGGATATCCTTTTACATAAGACAGCCAGAGACGGTCTCTGAGGAGGTGACATTTGTGCAGAGACCTGAATGATGCCAAGAAAGAAGACAAACCACTCCAATCTCTGCTTCAGGTATCATAATTGCCTTTTCCTCTGGCCTCCTGTCTCTCTTATAAAGACTCTTATACATGTAGTTACATTTGGCACAGTTGCATAATCTAAAATAATCTTCCCATTTCAAGATCTTTAATTTAATCACATCTGCAAAGTTCCTTTTGCTACATAAGGTAACTCGCTTTCAGGTTTCAGAGATGAGGATGTGGTCATTTTTCGGGAGTCATTATTCTGCCTACCATCACATGTACCATAACTTATTTAATCACTCCTCTATTTTTTTTAAAATATATTTTATTGATTTTTTACAGAGAGGAAGGGAGAGAGATAGAGAGCTAGAAACATCGATGAGAGAGAAACATCGATCAGCTGCCTCCTGCACATCTCCTACTGGGGATGTGCCCGCAACCCAGGTACATGCCCTTGACCGGAATTGAACCTGGGACCTTTCAGTCCCCAGGCTGACGCTCTCTCCACTGAGCCAAACCGATTTCGGCTATCACTCCTCTATTGACCAACATTCAGTTTGTCATCATTACTAGCCATGCTGCAAGGAATATGCGGACTCATATTTTCAGGTTTCAGAGATGAGGATGTGGTCATTTTTAGGGAGTCATTATTCTGCCTACCATCACATGCACCATAACTTATTTAATCACTCCTCTATTGACCAACATTCAGATTATGTCTAGTTTGTCATCATTACAAGCCATGCTGCAAGGAATATGCGGACTCATATATTTGCACTTATGTGAGTGTATCTATTTGATGATGTCCCGGTGTTTCTTTGATAGTCAAAGGGCATGTGCATTGAAAACACTGACAGATATATTCAAATTTTTCTCCAAAGCATGTGCATTAATCTTATTTCACCTATTTATGGAAATGATCAAGACAATAGGCTCGGTTAATATCAAAGTTGGTCTTTGTCAGGGAAGATGCTGGCCCAGGACACGACTATCTACTATAAACTACCTTTTATTTTTATTTTTTTTAAAAATATATTTCTTTATTGATTTCAGAGAGGAAGGGAGGAGACAGAGAGAGAAACATCAATGATGAGAGAGAATCATCGATTGGCCGCCTCCGATTTCGGCTATCACTCCTCTATTGACCAACATTCAGTTTGTCATCATTACTAGCCATGCTGCAAGGAATATGCGGACTCATATTTTTGCACTTATGTGAGTGTATCTATTTGATGATGTCCCGGTGTTTCTTTGATAGTCAAAGGGCATGTGCATTGAAAACACTGACAGATATATTCAAATTTTTCTCCAAAGCATGTGCATTAATCTTACTACTCTCACCTATTTATGGAAATGATCAAGACAATAGGTTCCGTTAATATCAAAGTTGGTCTTTGTCAGGGAAGATGCTGGCCCAGGACACGACTATCTACTATAAACTGCTTTTTATTTTTATTTTTTTAAAACATATTTCTTTATTGATTTCAGAGAGGGCGGGAGGAGACCGAGATAGAAACATCAATGATGAGAGAGAATCATCGATTGGCCGCCTCCCGCACACCCCCTACTGGGGACTGAGCCCGCAACCCAGGCGTGTGACCCTCGCGGGACCGAGCCCGCAACCCAGGCATGTGCCCCTCGCCAGAATCGAACCCGGGACCCTTCAGTTCGCAGGCCGACGCTCCATCCACTGAGCCAAGCTAGGGCTATAAACTGCTTTTTAATTGAAAAGGTTTTAATTTCAGACATCCTTTTAGGTGTCTGAGTTTAGTTTGCCAGGCAGTCCTTTACTGCGTTAGTCAGGTTAGCATGTGGCCCTTTTTGTCCACAGTGTAGAAAGGCCTTCTTCAAGCATTTAAACAATTCTCCCATCTGCTCACCTTTTCTTTTTTAAAGGGAGGAGCGTCCCTTTACATTTTGAAATCTTTGATCAAACGGATGTGTGTGTGTTGGCGTGCCTGAAAGGCGATCGGAGGGCAGCTTTATCTTTCCCATGTGTCCTGCTAATTGTACCGTCTTTATCACATGGGAAGTCTCCTAGACGTCCTAAGGTACCCAGAGGTGAAAAAGGAGTTAAAATAGAACTGGTGAGCGGCTTTCCGGATATAATAGGTGATTGAGTGCGCCCCCTAGTCCCCGCGGGGAGAAGCCTTCCAGGCCGGCTTCCTCACCTGAAAGCCCAGCGCCACCAGCGGAACTCAGGTGCGCGAGGGCCGGGAGCCGGACGAGCCCTGCCGCCGAGGACTGTCCGGCCGCGGGGGAGCGGTTT